ACCCGTCATCATCGCTTTGGGCACTGTGTTGCACTGTTTTCGGGTAGCCATCTTTGGCCCCTCTCCGTGACAATCATGTCTTTCAGTAGCGCTGACGCACCCTCCCACAGTCAGTGAACTGCGGTTCCTGTGGGGTAGCAGCCTGTATGTTTCACCCATTAGCATTCCGCTGCCCTCGAGCAGCCGCGGCCAAAGTGTCGTGTAACTAGCTCGCTAGTAGGTCAGACCAGACCACTGCGGTTCAAAGTGCAAAAGTGGATGGTCCCAGCAGAGGAGATTTCTCCCTAATTGAGAAAATGGGGGGAAGGCGTGTGCAGCTTCCCGTGGGAGCACTAGAGCTGGCACTCGGCCTCTAGCTATAAAAGATGGGGTCAGCGTGAGAGGCTCTAATAAGGGGGCCATGTGTCTCACGCTTAGTAAGCGAAAGATCCGCCAGGATCAGCTGCCGTGCAGCCTGACTTTTGCCCCACCTTTCACCGCTAGAAGCAAAAAGTGAGAGTCCGTGACTTTTTGCCTTTAAGAGTAACTAAGCGTAGCAATAAGCTTCCCTCACGCGTGCGTGATTGAGCTTTATTGAGAGCTGAATGACGTAGGCAACGTTTGCCACAGGCGCGTAGCCTGGAAAACGATTGTTTTGCAAAGGGTTGCCGTGCAACATGTTCATGCCGTGCAAACATGCTATGCGGTAGTCATCTCAGCTCTCAAGCTTGTAGTTTTTGTGCCCACCCTCCACACCCTGGAACGTTTCCAGAACGGAACCGTGTTCTTGAGAAGGAACCGTGTTCAGGCACACAGGTGCCTCGTTGAGCCACGTAGGCTACATGGACTCTCCATGTTTGCGTAGGCCTAGTAGCTTGTGACGACAGTTACTTGTCTGCGTAGTTTTGAGTTGTACATACCTGTGGACCCTAGTAGGGTACCTTCGAAATAGACACACCCCTAACAAGGGGGGCCATGTGTCTCACGCTTAGTAAGCGAAAGATCCGCCAGGATCAGCTGCCGTGCAGCCTGACTTTTGCCCCACCTTTCACCGCTAGAAGCAAAAAGTGAGAGTCCGTGATTTTTTGCCTTTAAGAGTAATTAAGCGTAGCAATAAGGCGTTATCCGTTTTTTGACGAATGCATGAACTGGTGCATGTCAATAGTCCGCTAGCTGAAGTTTTCGCGTGGGGAGAGTTGTCGAAAAACTTTGTAGCAACCCAGATTATGAGGTAAATGGCATACCACTGTGTCGCCCTGGGGTCCGCCCCAGCACCAACCGCCGAGGCGTCTCGCACGCTTGTGCTTGTGCTGGTAAAAAACGCTTGCACACGGGTCCGATGCAACCCTCCAAACCTTAGCTCAAGGCCTCCTAGGGGGGGAAAGGCTAGGGTCGTCAACCCATCATACACATCGATCTTCAACTGCAAGAGCTTGAACGTGAATTAATCGTTGCATGTTTTCGATATGACTTCGATTAGTTTGTTTGCCGTCACCATCAGAAATCGGGACAAGGCCGCGATTGTGCCGCCAGCATACGTCCGATTTTGGAGGCTCAAAATTGCGGGGATTCGTTTCGTTGATTCGTCATTGCTGCTTTGTTTCACGTTGCCAGAACGATTTCAAACAACAACATTGCCCACTGGTCAATGTGAACGAGCAATATGCGCGGGGCGTCAACAATGACATGTTTACGTCATTTTTGGCAAAGCAGTTGGTGACTACAATCATTGGAACATGTGATTGTAACGCCGCACGTGCAGAGTTGTGTCAGCCATGGATTCAGTCAATGACGCGGCGGATTCGCCTCCTATCGAGGCTGGTATGATTTTTTTGGTTCGTTGAAGACGCAGGTAGCTTCATCAAATGGTCATCGTATCCCTCAGCTATGCAGAAACAATGACGCCAACTACAGTTTGGACCACGCGAAAACAATCTAGCCAGTCCAACCAATTACCAGAAGCACCCGGAGGCTTTGTCAACAGGTTCGTGGAGCCGTTTGTTGCAGCACTTGTACAGTTCTGCTCTTGCAAAGATAAATTGCGGAATACAAGCACGAATGAGCACCTGTGTGCCCACGACCCTGCAAAAACAACAGTTGGTATTATGTTTCAAGTGATTTGTGTCCCGGAGTTCGCCATTGTGGCTACGCAGTTACACTTACTTGCATGAGGAAACCGAAAACTTGTTCAGGTTATTCCGGTGTCCGACATTGGCGTCATAGGCGAGGCTTAGCCCGGGCAGCTTCCGAGTTTTGATTCGACATGTGCCGTCAATTTCAGGCAGCGGTGTTATGGGCTCGAACCTGGGCCTGAACATTGCTGACAAGTCCCATGAAGGTAAACGCTTTGAGGCCTGGACCTGCAGGATTGTGAACAAACGTGATGGAGCTTGTCTCCGCACGCTGAGCCGGACAGACCGTCCCTTTGCCCACATTCCTTCAGCACACTTGTCGAGAACTGTATGGTAAAAATCATTGTTTGGGACATTCTTGAGATCATATTGCATGTCTAAGCAACATGAAAAGAACACAGCCTGACGGAGTTATTTGCAATCATGAGAAGTCGGAGCTCGGATCTAAGAGGCTTAGGTGGGATCTCCAATCACACGACGAACACACGTTTTTGATTTGGCAATTTATCCTTTTATTGGATTTGCAGTTTCAATAGCTTCAGAGTTGTCCAGGCGATCCCAACCATGAACGAGGGTTGCCAAGCCAGATCAGGATTGTCACAGCATTAACACCCGACTAATGGGTTCAGTGGCGAGGTGTCGCTATACGATCTCAGCGTCGAGCAGGTTCAGTCGGCAGCTTCACAGCAGAAGAGGGAGTCCTCACCACCAATAGCGCATGAGCAATGCCCACTGCAGCAAGTGTGCCATGGAGGCTGGTGCTCAGGTGTTGTCTGCTAATTCAGCCTACCAGAACCTCCATGGTTTTGGCGGAAAGGACAAGCTGAAGGCACTTCTGCTTATAGCATCCGATGGTCGCTTAGAGTGACAGAAGGCTTCATTGCAGACAAGGCCAGGCACACCAAAGCCTATGTTATCCACGTAAGGAGAGAGCATCTGGCCCAAGTAACTTCTTCGGTATTGCTCTGTGTTTAACCAAATCCTGCCTGGAGCGCTACAGTGCAACGTGGCTGCATGCTCACTGATCTGCTCGCATGGCACTTGAGTGTGTGGATGTTTGGTTTGGTGGTGTTGAGCTTCGAGTACGAGAACTGCTTTCCAGAACCTTCGACCAGCTTGTCACCTGTGCAGCCTGGTCAGCTTGGAAAGTATAGCGACCGGACCAGCTATTGGTATCCGTATCTGCATGTGCCTTACCTTGGGCAAAACCACATGTGCCATAGAAGACGTGTGAGTTTTGTGGGGATTCAGCTACCCACTGCTCGAGTGGCCAAGGCCATGGCGCTGCTTGAAGTGCTCAGGCTCTGCGTGTTGGCATCCATAGCCTGGGCAGTTGACCCTGAGGCGCACAAGAACTGCAGATGGTGACAGCATGTGACGGCCAGTGCATCTTGTTTGCGCATGGCTGTTTCTTCAGGCTTCTCAACCGGCGCACGGAACCCTGGCACTCGTGCGTTTGGTTAATCTTAGCCTGGTGTGGGTAGAGCTGAGTACCACTCTATTATCACATTGTGAAGACATAGCTGAAAATGCTCACAACCCAAGCCTTCTAAGGCCTCAGTCACAGTCGATTCAGCAGGAGACCCTGCAAGGCAAGGTTGGAAGCTCCGACTGCACCAACCTGCATTGCGTTCGAATATGTTCCTGTTGTGCCACGCAGGTGCAGTGGATTCAGCGAAGTCGACCATTCAGAGGCAGGTCAGGTCTTGAAAAAAGAGGCAAAAGTAGAGCGGCCCACGTGAGGATTACAGACCTCGGCAACTCCGTGGCAGACAATATGCGTGAGTCGCTCCGCAACGCGGACAGGGCCGCAGACATTTTCATATAGTCGCTCGAACCTCCTTCCACGTTGCCCTAGACAAGGAGCATCAGGCAAGGCAACGAGCAGAATCCGAGCTGGGTGTCAGCCGGGAGCAGCTTTCCGAGCACTTTGTTGCTTTGCAGAAGGCAAGTCATCTGAGCTAAGCAGCTAATTTGAATTTGTTTGTTGACTTCTGCTTGCTGAATTGGACACGAGGAGGCAGCCTCCGATGTGGAGAAGTCGCAGCTAGACTCCGCGAGGCAGGCGCTGCATGACATGAAGGCCGGAGATTGCAATGGATTGGAGATGGTAAGAGACAGAGCACTGCAGCATGGAGCATGTGCGTACAGTTTCAGGTAGCAGATGGGCAGCTTCATCAAGTGGAAGCTCGAACCGCGAAATTATTGGATGATGCGTCCAGAGACATAGAGGTGGGGCCTACAGTCTGACATGTCACTGGTCACCTCGTAAGGCAAGGCTGCTATGTGCAACGCAATTCATAGCATAGCAAACACATGTTTATTTCGTTGCTACTGGCACCCTGTACTTGTCATACAGGTAGTAGACGCTCACATTGTGAGTTCAGGATCACAAGATATCACAAGCAACTCGGCAGCCCCAGCCAGATCCCAAAATCGCCATCTGCTTTATGTTGTATCCGCACACCTCGTGCCAGCCAGCAAGATGACCTTGCTGTAGCTCAATCTGTAGGCGGTTGTGCATGGTTCATGTTTTGCAGCAACGCGAGTTGGCCAAAAAGAATCCCAATTCCATTTTTGCTGAACCTGCAAGCTTATGCCGCAGCTTTGAGTCTTTTCATCCTGCTAAGCTTCATACCCATACGGCACTCGGCAGCCTTCCAAATTCCCTCCACGGAAACCTCTCGCTTCCAACGTGGTCCGCCTAGTCCTCCATCTCGCCTTCGTGGCGCGCCACCGCATTCCATTTCCTTCACGCCACGTCCACGGCTCGCTGCCTGCTTCCGCTTACGCCCGGCCCTTCCCTTCGAGCACTCTAGTGGAACGGCTTCCTTTCAAACGAGACTTCTGCCATCTTCTGCACAATTGTCACCCCCAAAGATTGTCAGAACTTCGTGGAGAAAGAATAATCAATCATCATGGACAGATGATTTCACGTCGAGTGTGGGGAACAATTGAATCCGGCTGATTCCTCAGACCAGTTGTAAGCTAGGTTTGCCTCGCAACTCGGATTGGTGTGCATGGTGCACAAATTTGCAAGTCTTGAAGCAACGCAAGCCCAAAAGTCGTAAGTCCACCTTCTTTTCGACTTCTGAACGCAGACTGCCACGTGTTGAGAGAAAGGTTGGTTGAGTGTTTATGTGTTCAAAATCAGGTACGAACAAACCTAGAGTGCGCGGCTTGCTTCATGGAGCATTTGAGCCCGACATCTTAAATCTTCACCGACCTCAGTTTTGCTGGCCTTACAATACTCGTCATTCAGACTAGTGTGAGCTGCAGCCCGAGCCTAGAGCTCAAGAAGGAGACAGCTGCAGGAACATGTGCAACTGCAGTTCTCTGACCGTCAGTCAAACGGTCATTCTTGTGAAACCTTCAGACGAGAAATTCTGTAAAGCGGATACGTGACGAGGCAAGAAGCAATGATGTTAGCCTCCTGGTAAAATGGTCAGTAGCATGCCAGTGCCAAACAGAATCGTCATGCAATGTAAACGCTTGTGAAATCCCTCGTCCGCAAGGATGGGGGCATGTGGGGCTTCCGAGGACTCGGGGCGCGATGCTGCGAGAAAGGCTCGCGAGCAGGCAGGATCAGGGCCAAGGCAGCAAGGCATGCTTGATAAATTAGAGACAGCCTGAAAAGAGATGCAGCATTCAGTCCGAATTCAGCTCAGGCCGACCATTTGGCGAGGACAGCTCGACATCAGACAGATCACCTGGATCGCGTTGCGAGGAAGTTTGACGTCCCGGACATGTCAGATAGGCCACGATGAGGGAATCTTTGCACATACATGTTCGTATGGCAGAGCTGCAAGTGGCAAGCCGAGTCTGACACATGTCGTTGTGTCTTACTGAAGGCACAGTTAAACGCGCATGGAATCCTGTCTATCCCCTCGAAAGGTCACTGATTTTCGGCTAACTGGGATATTCCTGTGCAGCTATGTTGATCCGCTGATGCGCATTTCAATCTAAGTACAATGGAATGAATATGCTGGACGTTGTCCATGCGAGGTTTGATCGCATGGCGGAGAATGCAGCGCGCCATGTGTCAGATGTTGCTGAGAGAGGCGAGGTTGGTGCTTTAAATCTCTCAAGTCATCCGCAAAGAGATGCGCAGCTTGTCTGGTTGGCTGGCCCCTCGGGGGGTGATTATACTGTAGGCATGTATGCTGAGGATTATTCAGTTGTAAAGTCTGCGACGCAGCATGTGCTCTGGAGGGAGGGGTAGAAAGGGGGGTTGGCGACTCGTCCCTGCTGCAACCAGTCGAGTCCCAGCCACAAGAAAGCCGCCGTGAAGGAACATGCAAAACACATATCCTCAAATATCAAGCCAGGTATTGAGCCTCCGCAACCAACTAGATTTGAAGCCCGTGCTCGAAGGCTTGTGGGACATCCATGTTGTGGGAAAGTCTAACTGGGGTTGTCTGAAGACTTCGTGTGGTGTACATGGTCTTTGTTTATGTGCAACAACCCCAGGCTGGCTTAGAAGGCCTTCTGCGAAAGTTTGCGATGGTGTTCAAGAAAGGAATTTGGGATTTTGCAAAGGAAGCATCGCAAGCTACACTTCCTTGCATGCAGTCAAAGGCATTTCCCTGCTGCTATTCTGATGAAGGAATCTCCCAGCAAGAAAAAAGCTTGTGAAACACGCGTTCAGCCTGAGCATTCTTACCCGACAAATTGCGAAAGATGCGGCGAAAGATCCGTGAAAGTTCGCATCAGCTGAGCACACACTGGTCTTGTAAGCCACGGGAGACGATGTAGCTGCTGCGTTTGATGATAGTTTCCTGCTTGGAATATGCTCCGCGAAAGTTCGTGGTGGTGCTCGCCAAAGGAATCTGGGTTTTCCGCAAAGAGGTCATTTTTGGGATAAAAAAAGTCTGGATAACATCCTCACTTAAGTTGGAACCCCTGCCAAAACCAGAAAGCTAGCTCTGTTGGAGCTTGTGGTAATTGTCGTTCACAGATTCTCCACGTGGGTCACCATGTGGCTGCAAATCAATCTTTAAGCTGTTTCATCAAGTGCTAAGGTGTGCGGGGGAGGGCCCCCCTCAGCTTATTGATTTCCCCCCCCCACCAAGGGGAGGGCCCCTCCCAACCCGTCTTTTGACAACCCCGTTTTTGGCCCCCCCTTCCCTAGAGCTAAACCGCCCGCTGCAGACAATCCTGCTGCCCTTTAGCTTTTTTGGCCCTCTTCTCAAGTTCCGCTTAAATTCCGTCAGATAGGTCGCCCCACTTAGGAGTCAGGCTTCAGCTGCAGTTATGATTTTCATCTACGTCCCATATGCTTCCAAGCAGCATATTTCAGGTAATTCTGAGTCGGTTCAACGTTCGTTTGTTTGAGGGAAATCCTGAAGGCTGCTAACAGGCCCCGACTAGGCCTTGCTAGTAGAGGGGGAGGTCGGGGGGGGGCTTCAAGAAGACGGGAAATGGCAAGATACTGGTCTGGAAGGCGAATGAGCAGCAAGTAGAGAGTAGGGTTGTGGAGGGTAGAAGTAACAACGTGACTTGCCTGTGGCAGCATGTGCACACGAAATCTTAGGTGATGCTTCCAGGAGAGCTGTCGAGCAAGCTAAAAGTTTCTTTGGAAGCTCTGTCAAGGAGCTCGAGTGACCGAGGATGCAGCGCGAAGTCTGCCAAGGTGGGCAGAAGCTTTGGAAAGGTGTAGCGCTCGTACCGTTACATACCGTTAAAGCATTTGGGGCCAGCGCAGGCATTTCTCTGCGCAAGTGACCAAGGTAGGGCTGTTTGTGTGCTATCCTTTCAATTTCTGACTGCAGCATCGCAGTGTTGGCTGTCAACAGAGCCCACCGTGGACCTGCTGCAGGCCAGACGCCAGCGCCGAGCCGCGCTTCGGAGTGTGGAGGAGCTTCTGGACTCTGCCGAGGTGAAGGCGTGAGGCGTGCGTGAGCAACCTTGTAACACTCGTGGTGCTTGCAAGACCAGGCAGGTGGTTCTGTGATGGTAGCGACATCAAAATCAGACATCAAGGATGTGTTACCCTCAGAAAGCACGCGTCAGTCAGCAAGAGACGTTCTGATTCTTGTGGGAGAGCCTGCTTCGCACATTTACCGTCAAGCTGTCTTGCATGAGGCTGACAGCTGCAAAGTGTCCTGCTTGTTGCAGAACGTATATGCGTGCGTAGGAGCGAGGCCAGGCGGACAGGACGCGGCCAGTTTCGCCCAGCAGTGCCGTGCCATGACTTTGACTCTGGAATTTCTTGCAGCCTCGTTGAGAATGCATCTGTGCATGCGCTCTTTCAATGGAGCTGGCTGAGTTGCAAGGCCGGCACGTGGCTCGCCTCCACAGCAACATTGAGCAAGGCGAGGGTTTGGGGGACCTCATGTCAACATGGCTGCCAACTCTACATCTTGGTCGGCGGATACTGCAACTCTACCAACATACTGACGGGCTCGGTCGATGGTGGTGAAGACACTCCCGCCTAGAGGACGAGGTCCTCAATCTGTCCTGTGCCATTCCGCCGTTCAAGCGGAGCTGCCAGCCAGGTACAGGAGTTGGTAGTCTCCTGGGCAGTTGCAGCAATCTCCAGGCCTTCAACTTGGAAAGAACCGTGACTGGCTTTGCCTGTCCATCCCATCAACCCGTGCTGATTTGGCGTCGGACTGCTGGATGCACACAGCTCGCCAGCTCAGGAATTTGCGGGGATGCCAATCCCTCATTGGTTCTCATCCGGGTGTGAGTGCAGTTTTGCAACCCGCTCAAGGAGCTCAAGGGCCTTGTAGTTCACCCAGTGTTTGCAGTTTCTATTAGTTTTTAGTAATAGTACATTGCCTCAAGCCAACTTGCACCGCAACCGCAGCCTGTTCAGCAGACAGCTCCATCTGCCCGCGCGCTGAAGCAGAGCGCAATGCAAAAGCACTCCAAAAGCCGAAACAAAAATGTGTCGATTGTCTCTTTGTGTCAAAGGTCCGCCTGTTGGTGGTCGGAGCAGCTTCAGCAGGACCTGCTGATATCACAGAGCGTAGCATGTGCTGCAACTCGGCACTTTCTCGATCCTTTGAGGTGAGTTTTGGCGTTTGCTACCTGGCATCAGTACGTGTGTTTTTTGCAGGAGCTGCAGCGGCGGCTCTCATGGCTGCAGTACTTCGCCATGTTTCGAAAAGTGACAATGACATGGATGCCCGGCATGATGTTCCGCATTGTGTTTCATGCGACATGTAATGTCTCCACAAGGGGTCCCAAAAGGTTCTGCCTTAGCGTCCGTCCTTCGTTTTCATAGGTCCTGACCTCCGACTTTCAGCTTGTCATTTTCTACAGTCAGAAACATGGGCCCTTAGGCCTTTTTGGCGGGGTTTCTAGGGATCCTTTGGGGTACATATAGCTTATGTAGAGGTTTAGGGGCCACACTGGGGGGCCCATGGTTTCAACGTAAGTGCTTCGTAGCAGTAGCAGTGGCAAACTTGCATTCAATTCGCCTGCCACTTTTTGCTTATGGATGTCTACTCCCGGCAAATGCTGCCAATTTCGCATGCAATCCTGGCAGCTCCCCAAGAGCTGTCTATATCATGCATCTTTGTATAGCAGGGTCATTTACTGGTTTGATGACGTGCGTGACGCTTTTTTGTTTAGTTCTAGTCGACGAAAAGCATTTGGTCCGGATAGTCAGATTTGTTACTGCTACTGATCTTAATGTTCTTGATTATTCTTTTCTGCCCTGGGGTGGCGACATCTCCTGGTGCTTATGGTAGAATTTGGGATGCCTTTTCGAGACATCTTGGCTACATCCTTGTCATACTTGTTTCCAAACGGATGGCTCCAACTCTCACCGGCGACGGCATGGGGATGGAGGTAGGTAGGCTCTGTGCACCAACGTTCAGCAGCTTTTCACGTGCCCAGGACAAGTATTTGTGGCTTGTCTGCATGAGGTGTGCTGAATAGACGCGCCTGTGCAGACGCTGGTGCTGCATGTGTATGTCAAACGGTTCCAGGTCTGCAGACTCCATCGTGAAGCTGAGGCTCGTTGTTTGACTTGCACTTTCTGGTGGTTGGGCCCAGCGAATCCCCGAGCGTCTGGCAGTATCGACATGTATCGATTGAGTTCTGCTGTTTGTCCTGCGCGCTCAGAATGTGGGAGGGATGTGCGAGCGCTACAAGCATGCATCATCTAAGGTACCTCGTGCTGGGTTGGCATGGGTGGCCATGCCAGGACCAGACCTTGCAGTGCGAGTAGGCTTGGGTTTAATGGCGGTGCCGGAAGATGTTGCAGGACATCGCGCTGAAAACCAGCTCAGCATGGTGCCCGGGCCTGTAAACTCGGAGAAACACGATAATGGTTCAAGGCCCTAGTAAATCAGGAAATGGGATGCGTAAGCCTAAGCATCCTAAGCATGCTTCAGCAACATGCAAACACATCTCCCATAGAGTGTATCTCAGAGCTGTGTAGGCTTTCTGATTCCGAGGCACAGGTGACTTTCGTGGCGTGCTTCAGATGGTCCATCATCTCCCATGAATGTACTTTGATGCATTTGGGCATTAACGTTTCTACCAACTGAAGACTGCCATGATACTTTTGACTGGGCTTGTGTTTGGTGCTGCGCCAAAGCAAGTTCCAGGCTGTACGGCCGCACCAGCCCAGGGCAATAGTTTTTGTTGTTCCAAGGGACAGGAAGGCTTTTTGGCATTTGGCTGGTTTTGCAGATTTTCACAGATGCCCAATGCTGGAACTTGCTGTTTGGCCAACCAACGTTTCTCTCAGGTGCAAGAAGCAAAATGACGGAGTCTTGATAGCAGTCGCAGGCATGTGCAGGCTTCAGGTTATGAATTTGACCCGTTTTTGAAACCTTCGACGAACGAAGAGGTCAGCACTGCCGAACCTCTTAGTTTTGTGGTGGCATCAACTCAAAACTCGAAAAAGTTGCTGGTTACAGTTACAGCGGAGTGCACCTGTGAAACACTCGCTCGCTGGCTCAGCCCGCGATCGTGGCCAACTTTTGCCCGGTTTGCAGAGAGTGCTTAGCTTCGACGATTGTAAATTATTCCTGGCTAGAAGGCCGTTCTCTGCAAGCGTGTTGACATGTGACCTGTACAGACTGCTCGGGTGATGATTGGGGCGTGGTCCCTGCTATTGAAAAATTGGCCCGGCTTGCGTGCACACCTTCACTCAAGTGAGTAGTTTCATGCTAAACAAAGAAGACAACAAGGTCAGAGCATGATGGCTTTTGCACTGCGTCAGGACTTTGTGGCTTCGCTCAAACGGCCCCGCAAGGTGCCATGCCACATGGAGCTTTGCGCGCTGATCCAGCATCAGGTGCTGAGTTCCACCCTTGCGGGCAACGTTCCCGTCGCAAGCATTTGTGAGATTGAAATCATTTATGCAGTACTTCCGAATTCTGACAATTCCCATATAACTGGTGTAAATAACAGAGTGAGGGCCGGATAAACAATGCAAGGCCATTATTCTGGTTCCAGCGGGTGCAGCCACGGACGCGGTCATTGAGGATCACGTTCTTGCATTCGTTCTTGGCTTGGAGTAGAGTAGGGCAAAGTGTTGGAGATATGCCAGTGCAGGATTTGGCAGCCTTGTTCCAAGCGGGTCCCGTGCCTATGAAAACACATACCAGGCCTTCTTGTTGAGAAGAGCATGATGAAGCTGAGATGATATCATTATTGACGTCGGGAACGCCAACTTCCGCGACCAGATTAGAAGGCAGGGCGCTGCATGTTGTTCCAGAAGGTTGACGCTGCTTTCACCGTCATGGAGAAAGTGGAACAGCTGTATGGAGGAACACCTTTCACCAGCGCCAAGTTTCCCCCATCACAGCACAAGGAAGCTTTTTGGACGATGAGCATCGAAACAGCGCAAACCTTGATGTTTTTACACTGCAGATTGAAACGAGAAAGCAAAGGCTTGTATCCACATTTATGATTATGTCTAGCAGAACACCCATGTCTCCGTGAGCCATACTCATGCTGTTCAATAATTGTTCGATGGTCTTGGTTTCTTCTACCACCGTTCTTCATCCTGGCAGGGCGGAAAACCTGGAGAAACGCGGTTTGCGCTTCTCGTCACATTATTCGCCTACCTGTTCCATCTTGCTGGCCAGCAGTATGTAAGCTCAATCAGCCAATGCATGCTGAAGAAGCCAGTGGTTTCATTCAACAGTGGATTCTGTTGCCGCCCCAAGCAATGTCTCCGTGCTCGTACTGGGAGGTTGCAAGTGTTTCAGCTTCTAAGGCTTTCTTGGAATGGGCGTCAGCGGTGGCGCAGAGGGTGCGCGCAAAGGTCCAGCGTTTTTCCCTGGAGGCATGAGCAAGCGATGCTGCTGGAGCTCACCCTTGGTGCAAGTACAGCTGATGTTTGCCACGCTCTAGCAGGAACTTTGAGTGTCTGGAACGACGTCAAGCACATCATTGAGGCTGCGGACTCTTCTTTGCCCTCTGAGATGCTCGGTACTTGTTCCCAGGGCCACTTGGACCTGCAGATCCTGCAGCAAGTAGAAGTGTCTAACTGGCCATGCGGGCACGGCATAGATACAATTTTGAATAAGGAAGTCCAGAGCGCACAGGAACGGGCACCGTTCGTATCACAGTTGCTGGAGTGATCCGGGTCATGCAAGTCCATCCTTGATCATGAACTAGCTGCTGACCAGCTGTTCATGATCTCACTCGATGGCTCAGGTGTTCAGGCTCAAGTGCTGTTTTTGTTCATTCGATTTTACCGTAGGATGAAAGCATCGGATGATGGTGGCGGCGACAGTGAAAGCAATCAGCTTATAAAGCAGTGGCAACAGGACAGAGTTTGCAGTTGTTTCTCAGCCCCGTGAGAGCTGTAAGCCAGGGTGACCTTAAAAAGTAAGTTGGGCATGTGGGTTTGACCCACTTGCAAGTGCAGATCGTCGCAGAATTTCGAGTAGCAGCCTTTGGAGATTAGAGCTGTTGCGAAGCTGCAAAGATTGGTGGAGATTGTAGGGGTAGATCCAGTACTACCCAAGAGCCTTTCAAGACATTTTTCCAAGGCGTTTGGTTTGGCTGAGCCACACTATATGAGAACATACGAGAGGTTAAACAAAAACATGGCTCCTTCGCGACCATAACAAAAGGCTTAGATGGCTTTGCTTCAGGATCGGACAACGACATAACTCAACATACCAAGTCATTATGTTATTCTCCGGGCAAGTTTGCGTTCATGTGCATTGTGATGTGCATTGTGGTGTGTGTCGACTTGTGTGCGTGGACCTTTGTGATTCGCGCGCATGTAAGGGGTGGGTGCGTGTGTGGATGTGGGCGTGTGAGCATGGTGGTTTGGGTAGCTCTCGAACCTCCCTCAGGGAAGGAGGTGGTCAGCCAACCTGGCATAAACCGTCTTTCCAGCATGATGTTGATGCCCTTTCATGGCTGATTCCCAACACCCTCGTTACTGCCCTCACAATGGTACAGACAGCAAAGCGGTCAGGTGTCTCTTTTACAGCTGAGGCACAAGAGTGCTCACTGAGCCCACACTACAACCTTGAGCATATAGACATCATGCATTGGTGTGTTTGACATGTGATTGCACTGACACGAACTCTCAAAGCTTCAACCAGGCACAAATGTAAAAATCCAATAACTATGCATGGCCGTTGAGTCGGCCCAAAGATGTCTTGTAAAAACTGTTCAATTCAGGTTCTTTAGCAGAGTTGCGCGCACTGTACTTTTTTTGCTTGATGAAAATGAACAGCTACTGAAAAGGGGAGACTCACTTCAAGAAAAAAACTCAGACAGACATGTCCATGAAAGGTCAGAAAGAAAAGAGTTAAACACTTTTGAACAATGCTTTAGATACTTTTTCAATGGAAGCTTTCCCATCGGAGCAATAAAAACTCACAGATTTGATTTGTGCCTGCAAAGATCCGTTCTAAAATAGAAGCATTCTTTCTCTGGCTCCTGGACAAGAACTACGATGACTACGAGTCTCTTCCCAAATGGAAGTCTCTCCAGAAAAACATTATGCGCAGCTGGGACAAAGATACCATCTCAAAGAGATGCATTTTTTAGGCGTCGCGTACAACGACTTGGGAAACAAGGCGTTCGGGGCCGCTGCGTCGGTTTGGAATTTCAATGGTGCCGGAGACGTTCTGCAGCACCGCACTCGGGCGCTGCTGTGGCTGGTGGGCGCGGACAATATGTGGACGACTTTAACGGGGTCGAGGCGGATGACCTGGCCAACTCCGCCCACACCGCCTTCGCGCAAGTCTTCTACATCCTCGGCCTCCGGATCAAGGAGTCCAAAGGGTGTCCTTATTGCCGTCACCCGCAAGGGTGTCGCCCTGTCGCCGACACCCAGCAGGATCCAGAAACTAACCGCCATGATCAGGAACATCCTGGAGGCGGACGCTTGCGCGCCCGAACAGGCTCAACGCCTGGCTGCCAAGATCAACTTCCTCAACCAGGCGGTCTTCGGCAAAATGGACAACACCGGTATCTATGCGGACGCGTTCTTCCTCGAAGGCGAAACCCGCCACAAGGCGGGCTATGTCCCCTTGTCGGCTAGCGCGACCGACAAACACAAGCCGGAGAATGGATGGGGTTATGTGGTTCGCATCTAAGAGCAAGTGTACTACGACATGGGACGGGCGCCCGCGTGGTTCGTCAACAGGATTCTCCACTGATGTCCTTGTCGTGCAGAAGACTTCCAGGTAGACCCTGCGCAACTCTTGTATGCAGTAATCTGCAAGCGGTCTGATTCCTATGAACCATCAAGGATGTGAGGACTGGCTTGAGATCCTGAGTGAGGTCCGCCAGGGAGACGAACATCAAGGTCACCAGGTTTTCAGTGATCGGGATGGTCATCGAGTGTTGTTTCTTCAACCGCGCGGTAGCTGCCGCGATAGCTTCTTCTTGCGTGATGGTGTTCTGTTGATCTTGAGACAAAGTACCAACATATGCTCGAACTTCTGGACTCTTTGCGTCTGTGATCGGCGCATAGGTGTCGTCCCAAGC